CTCGGAGACAAAATGAGCAAGAACGCTCATTTGTACGTCATTCTAGAGAGAAATAAATGGCCTGTTTAGCAAGTGAACCATCGATAAGGAAATGTTGGCAGTTTTCTCAAAAAATGCTTGAATTCAAGAAGTTTTACATTTGCGTGGGTTTTTTTGAGTTGCAAAATCCACTTGAATATGACGCTGCTTTTTTCGAAGTTTCTCAAGAACCATTCGAGCCAAATAATTCGTTTTGGCATCGTTGGATAGAGAATTGAATGGGGGGGGTCATGACCCCCATGACCCCCCCCTGGATCCTCCCTTGGGTTCTAACAATCCTAGAATTTTCGAATTTGCAACTTCATCCGGGATTTATCGAGAATTTTTATAAATTGGCTTGTGAACCGCGGACCGTTTCACTTAGGCGTCGTTTGCCAAATTGATGGTGTAAAAACCAGAAGAGATAGAATGTTGACCGTCATTGTATTTCATAGAGAATAGTCAGATCTACAAAACTGTAAAGGTTTTGCATTGGCAACTTTATCGGGGCTTTTTTGAGAATTTTTGAAAACAGCCCTCAGTTCCTCAACTAGTGGTACAAAAGCCAAAAGCGACGTAAAATTCCTCCCGCTCCATAAAATTTTATGGAGAAGAGTCGATTCTCTGATCCTTGCAAGTTTACAATTTCCACCCTCATTCAGGATTTTTTGAGCAGTTTTCAAAATGACTATGTTTGTCAAGCGCCATTGCACTTACGCGTCTTTTTCAAAATGTAAAGCGTAAAAACCAAACCGGATGGAAGTGTTTTCGCATTTTATATAGAAAAGTCAGTTCCATAACCTGTGAAAGTTTCGAATGTGCATCTTCATCAGGGATTTTTTGAGAATTTTTCCAATCAAGCGAGTAGGACAACGGTGGTTTTCTGCTGCCTTCTTTTCCTTGAACTTGTAGCGTAAAAACCAAAAAATGACCTTAGAGACTAAAAATTGTGCTTGATGCCTGAGGAAACAAGATAAGTATTGAAACGCCCTACCGAAAGAGCTCGGTTGATTTTGCTATTTTCYRCCGTTTGCGAGATATAMGTTGTGTAAAAAATGTCGTKTCCSCTTTGTGMTCCTRCTCYCGTAAATRTYAAAAATTTCTSCTGAAACYYAATCGGRAAAGSTGTTTTTGGAATAACCGATGAAACACTTCGTAGAAGAAATCAGCCGATCAACGGCAAATTTGATGGGAAAACCTAAGAAGAWGCAAGTGGRAAACMAAACAAAAATTGAGGAAGAATGAGAGGAKGCAACTGATAATCAACTGAACGTTTTAACAGTTAATATTATCAACTGCGGCTTTATGTAATTTCCAGATCCCCATCGCGTTGCTGTTGTTAAAACCCGATACTATTCGAGTCTTAAATTTTTTCCGAAAGTGTTTCTCAGTCTAACGATCTTAGACAAGTGAAAATAAACAGACTGTCAGTACGATGCGACTAAATAGTCTTAAATCGACACTGGATCTGGTAAAATAAACAGATTGAGCGTTCCGAATGTATTTTATATGGAAATAACAGTTCCGGCTATGTTTACGTAATCTGTCAGCTTGCCGAGTTCATTATCTGAACTTGGCAGTGAAAGACGAGCTAAAATCAAATACCGGGTGAACATCGGAAAATCTCGTTCGACTGAATGTTTATTGCAATTGATAGAGTTCAACTAAATAATTTCATTTCGAAGGTGGGCTCCAAAACGACCAACCAACATGGAAGAACGATCGTTGCGGCCACGGACACGAAACAAAAAAGATTGATTGCGTAATTCAAGTCTCGGTCATTTAACTTCCTCCGTTCAAATCTGATAAAGCCATCAGGCAAATTAAATGAATTTGTTTTAAAATTCTAAACGGGCTTCATCTGAAATACGAATAAAAATTTCGGAATTTTTAATTTGTCAGATGCCAGCACAGATAAATCCATTAGGTAATGCGGGTTAGTTGTATTTATTTATTTAGCATATGTTTGGATCAGAGAATGCGCTCCATCTGTAAAATAGTTTCATTCGATGGATTTTCATCAAACTTTACCTCGAACAGCTGGAAAAAAGTTTAAAATTGAATGAAGCGCGGGTCTGATCTAAGGGAACAGTTTTTCTCGATCACCCAGCAGATTGATTRATCGGCAATCTTCAGCGTAATTCAAAATTTTYATTCCCCAGCAATGAGGTCTAGTTTAAAAGTTTACCTTTATTGGGGAGACTCTAACTCGGCAAATTAATTGATTTTTATGAGCAAGTGAAAGTTGTCGAAAAAAGTGAAAATTGTTKAAAGAAACAAAAGTTATTGAAGAAAATGAAAGTGGCTCCAAATGACTGTTAAAGCAACAGAACCAGGCATAAAAAACCATTTGAAGAAATTCCCTACCAACTAAACTGCTGAACAAATTTCAAAACTTTTTTCGAGATCTCCTTTAATCTCTGTGGCGTTAAAAGGGAAACAAACGTTTCTTTAGCTCAACTAAGAGCATGTGAAACTTTCACCAATTGAAGTACAAGTTTTGTCCAAAAACACGCCCCACCGAACAATAAATGCACTAAATCAAACTTCAAATGGAAATCAATTCGCTAGCAGCAAATCAGAATTTATCCAGTTCGAAAATGAGTCCTAATTTGTCCGTGCAAACGGAAGTTTCCGAGATTATTTGAAGAAGGGAGTTTCTTAATTAATTAATTTTAACAATAGAAACTGATGTTGTGAGGTGCAGTACTGTGATAAATTGTGCAGTTGCAATTGTGCAGAGTAGAATCAATTTTTTGAAGCAATTTCCGCGTTTGGATCAAACTAAAAAATTACATTTGACAAACGAAATTATCACTAAGTGGTAAAGTACGTGCATCCAATATATTTTTCTTCTAAAAATCATTTTGAAGCGTTGATTTTCAATATAACTCGCAATTAGTAATAATGCATGTATAAAAGAAATAATATTCAGATTCGATACAAGTATATCGAAGTGTGGTCATGGTCAATCTAAATACAAGTTGAGATGACGAGTGGTCAATTGATGATAGTCGGATAAGCCGACCAGTCGTAACTTGCGATGACTCGTATAATTCCGAAGATATGAGTACTAATTACCGAGGTGGATCTGATAAGCGCCTCATTTGTACAAAAATGTTAATAATGCGTTGATTGAACAAAGCAGGCAACGAGAGACATCGATTTCGTTATTCACGATTATTATTTCTTCGGCGATCTTCCAGCTCAAGCTTAGATGCAGAGAATTTTAATTCGATTGTATCAATTTTGAGAATTTTCATATTTTTTCTTATATCTAGACGCACCTTTAGCAGGAACTTTTCTGGATTCCATTGCAAAACGCTGCAACAAATGAAACACGCTTGTGAACACCGTCTCAGTTTTTTCATATAAATATTTTTGTTTGGCTCAATCCCAAACTCCAATTTAAATTGCAGAATGGCAAACATCTTCAAACTGAAAAAGTGGGGCCCAATCGATTACTATTTATGTTGTAATGAATCAGTTCCTCATCGAAATTCAAAATTATAACTTACTTATTACGGATATTTTTAGTAGACGATCTGGAATTTCTCCAGTTATTAAAATTTTTTCTATTTTAATACTTTAAGCATCTTCTGAACATTTTCAGTTTATTCAATTAATTTTCCCTTTTATAAGATTTTTTAAATCACTTTTGCAGCATAAACACCCGATGATAATTAAATAACGTTAAAAAATATAAATTGCACCTCGCCTATGCCGTCATCGCTAACTAGCAACAACACTGATCAGAGAGTGTGAGTGAGACACCGCTATGATCTGTCGAAAATCACCAAAATTAGGTTAGCTCACACATCACATAAGTTTTCAAATTCACCCTTTTATTTATTTAATTTAATCCGTTATGCAAAGTTTACGGAAAAATGGAGCCCCCAATCAAGCCCGATGAATCAGACTGTTGTAATTCCGGGTGCAGCCCTTGCATTTTGGACGTCTATGAAGACCAGCTAAGAAAATTTAGGGCTGCAAAGTGCAGCTCACAAACCCTCGCTAACTGTCTTTCATTGACCTCCTACAGTGTATTTAGGCTTGCTGCTACGAAGGGCCACACTAAAGATTCGCGGTTTTTCACGTTTCAGTATGTAAGACCTGAAAAATGTCGCCCCCAAAGTGCAAGTACTAACGTTGTCTATGAACCTGGCCAGTACTTGCTCTTCAAAGGGAGAATACACGGGGAAATGTTTCAGAAAGCCTACACTCCTATTTATGTGGAAAATCAAGTTTCAAATTGCTTCACTGTGCTGGTAAAACTCTATGAAAATGGTCGCGCCTCCAACCTGTTCAAGACACTGCGGGTTGGAACTGAAACACTTTGGAGAGGACCTTATGGGGATTTTCGGATAAACTACGAACAGAAACATATGCTTTTCATAGCCCAAGGTACTGGTTTAGCTCCATTTTACAATATACTGATCAAAATGTTAAATAACGAAGACTGCTACTGTTTTCTCACATTGATTTTTTGCTGCCAAGAAAAGAACATTTTGCTCAGGGACGAATTGTACAAGCTGAAAGATTATTGGAATTTCCAATGCGAACTGTTCATATCGGGGCCAAACAAGCACAGCTTTGACAAAAAATACAACGAAATTGTACATTTTAATAGAATTACCGTTGAGGATATTCAAAGATTCATGGAATCAGTGAAGGGTAGTTTTAAAGTACTGATATGTGGTTCTCAGAGCTTCTGTGATAATATCAAAAATATTCTATTGGAGTGCAATGTAGCAAAAGAAAATATTACAGTGTTTTAAATTTTCTATGTTAAGTTTGCATGTCAGCTTTCCCAGTTCCTTCGCCTAAATGTACAGGATTTCAAATTAAGGAAATATACAAAAGAGGACGGTTCAAGCCATAGTCGGTTGATGATCGTGAGCCTTAAAAATCAACCAAATTTTTGCGATCTGAAGGGCCTAAGTCTAGCAAAACTTTTAACGTGCGTGTTTTTCCATTTCAGTGCGTGGTTTTTCTCCTAAGAAGCTACTCTATATGCACATATTTATAGTATTTTGCTCTTTGATAAGGAAGATATCATCGGTTGAAAATCGCTTAAAATCGTCCAAAAATACCAATAAAATTTTTTCGATGAACAATTTCAATAAATAATAAATATTAAAAGTTTTTTCAGTAAGCTTTTTTCCTCGTTTTCTCAAAATGAATGAAAATGATGTAGAAATCGAGCTATTTTGAGAGATTTGATATTGTTTGAAAATATCGACTTCTACCCCTAGAAAATTTTCGATCTGGTAAAAATTTCCCATGCGTGTTTTTTTGCGCTCAATCCATAGGTTTCGACCTAAGACTTACGCACATTTAGTGTTTTAATCTACAATAAGAACAATATTGGCGGTTAAATATCGATTATTTTTGATCTGAAGCCGATAACAATTTTATCAATCAACTCGTTGCATTCCTCGCTCCTTTCCGATAAAAATCGTATACAATTTTAGCGACTTGAGCTCACACATGTGAAATTGTAAATATTCAGGCCCATGTTTGTATAATAACTGTATATTACTAAACTTTGTACTTGCGTTAGGTTGAAAGTCGATAATCATGAGAACAGTTTCTGCTAATTTAGCCTGTTGTTACTACAACCATCCCAGTTTTCTAATTAATTTAATCTAAATTTACCCTTGATAAGTCAATATCACAGATAGTATTAAATGGTGACTTTATCTGCAAAATACAGCCATTTGCCTGTAAGGAAGCAAATATTCCTGTGACCGCAATAAATAAAGATTCAATTATAAATAAGGTATTTAATGTGCCTGAAGTCTTATATATTCACTATCTCATAAAAATGAAATTTTCAACCATCTCACTCATCCTCTACCTAAAGCTAAGCTTTAAAACCGCCTTAAACAACGCCTTGAGAAAATAATAGTTAAAATATAGTCAAATATTCCAAGAATCGCCTATTATTCCTTAAAAAACATGTATTGTAGTGGTAACGAATAAATACTGATTTTTTAAGTCTTTTTCAAAAATAAACCTTTTGCTCAAACACACGTGGTACCCGATATACCGAAGTGAAACATTCAGCCAATAATACTCCTTTGTACTTCAACGATCTTACCCTACCTTACATTCTTCAGATTAATCCCTCAAGTTGCACCGTCCAATGCATTTTTTATCGAACTTATCAGCGGAAATTTCGTGCCTGCTATAACACCCATATTACAAATACCTTTAAAGTCATCGGCATTTAAACAGTAAACCATTGCGCCGCCAAAATTGTGGCTTTTAATAAATTCCGCTTTATACGTGAGACTTTGCGAATCATCAAACGAAATCCATTCGTAATACTTTGCCGCATATGGGCTGAAGTTTTCCATATCGAAAACCGGCGTGATGTGGTTCTTTTGTAGAAAATTGCAAATCATTGGATATGAAGCAAATCCCAAATTGCCCAGTTTCCCATAGCCAGAAGCTGGAGCATACAAATCATGGCTGTTGGAATTTACCAACCTGGAAAATCAGTCAAAATTGCCCACTGATTCGCTGGTATTCTGCTCAATCAATACCTGAAGCTGTGCCCATAAGTGGGCAGCCCAATCACAATCTTACTCTTGTCCATTCCAAGATAATTCCAGTAGTGACTGGAATAGTTTATATTTAAGGTTGTTAAGAAGTACTTTTCACTGGAGGTTTCGTACAGGGGCGAATTTATTCCGGTGAAAGGGGTGACGCTTGTAAAGTAGTGAAAATCGTAGCTCATCAGGTTGACAAAGTCCACATATCTGGAAAAAATTGCCAATTTAATGTACCACTTCAATTGGAAAAATTGTCAGAAACTCACTCGTTCATATAAGCAACATCGTAAGATACATCGACGATATCGGTAATCGCAGCTACAGCAACAGTTAGGAAAACTTTGTATTTGTCTTGTCTGAAAAATCCTTAGGTAAAGTGCGCTCATTTTTGCAATTCCAAACAAAATTGTCGGATCCCGTTACGGGAATTTAAAAAAAGTTGAAACTGGTGAGTTTTGCGGGGTTTTAGGTCGTGGTGGAAAACAATTTCTTCCTGATGTTTCGAAGCACGAGCGACATGCATCTTCTGTGCATGTGAATACAAGCCAGCGGTGCTTGCAAAACGTGAGAAAGACATTGTTTTATTCGACGGCCTGCAAACCCCAAAAACTCACCAGTTTCAAGCCTCACTCTTTTGATTGAAAAAAAAGTTCTAGAAAATGCATTTTTTTATGGAAAAAACGTGTTTTAATGCGTTTCACCTGGCAATTGATTTTCTCATTTCGGATAAAAGTTGCGTGAAATGCATTCTCTGATTGGGGTCGTAATTAATTTGAGCCCCTGGAAATTCCCAGTCCAAATCCACTCCATCAATGTTAAGCTGCTGCACATAATCCCAGACTGATTTGATAAATCTAGAAAGCATACACTTGAAACCTTGTGGATTGTTTGAGAACGCAATTACATTTTTCTGTTGGTGTGGTTTTTCACCATTTCTGGAAAACCGTTCTGGTTCCCAGCCCCACCCACTGACACTAAAACCTTCAGATTTTCATTGGTTTGTTTCAGTTTGATTATTTCTGCTAAAAAGCCTGAAAAAGTCGCAGACTGGATAAGTATTTTGAATTCAGCAAAAACAACTGAATTCTTACTTAATTGTTCATTATCCAGATAAAGACTGTTATTGACCACACTGGCAAAGGCCAGATTCAAATGGGTGCATAAATTGGGATCAATATCACTGACCTGCATTGACTGGTCATTGGCAGGAAAATTAAAATAACAGACCAGCCGCAGTGCATTGGGAGCATGATCTGGTTGATAATTGTGTACGAACTTCGGGATTTCTGTTACGTTCTTGTTTGGATGCGTGTTACTGTATGCGATTGCTCTATATCTGCTGTTTTCCAGATTTTCTGCAACATTTATATATAATATTTCGTTTAAATCATTCTCAAATTGCCTGTTATCCTGATACTACGTACCACTCGAAACAAACGTGTTTAATCCATTCTTTGGATAAACTAGATTTTTGTAAATGCCAAACAGGATCATATCAGTGGCACAAAACACGGTCACTGCTAGGATAAGGCATCCTACTATAAGCAGAGTTTTTCTGTCCAAATACACAGGAGTTCTATAACAAACAAAAGCTCTGTAGGTTTTGCATAATTTAAACGAATTGAAAATGAACAGCTTGATATTTATATGCGAAAACTTTAGATTATTTGTTCAATTTGGCAAGTTTGCCAAAAGCACTGAAAATACGGAAGCTTTGGTTCTTGAAATAGCGGTTTTCGCTCCTTTACGGGGGCAGATTTAAGGTAGTAGGTAGCGTTCAATTGGGCATTTTTATTGCCTTAGCAATTTTTTTTGCCTTGGATCTTTTCTCCCTGTTGTCTGTAACTTCACTGGCTGTTCAGATATTGATTAACATGCCCCTTCGATTTCCCCCTGTATAAGTTTAAGTTCTTGGGCCTGTGACCACTGGCTACGCTTAAAAAGGCCAAGAACAATCAGCTTTTTTATCTGAACTGATTACTTTGTGACTGATCGAGCTCTGATGAGTTGAAAGGTTGTTAGGCTGTTTGCCGCAAAAGTTTGTGAATAACAGCACAATAAAACCGAAATCTATAAGGCAATGAGAATAAGTTTCCTCAAGGTAAACAAACTGAAAATACCTGCGAACCCTGTGCAGGAGAACGTATTGGTTGTGCTCCTCTGAAAACATGGCTTATCAGCGCAGAGTTAAAAGCATAGATAAAGACGAGTAGGTTAAAAGCGGAATATCTGATAATCAAGCACCAATGCAGAAACACTGTTAGAAAACATAATCTTTTGATGATTTATGACAGGTAAAACGTAAATAGAACTCTAACCTCCACAGAACATACCCCAGGGGGGATATTTTGTGTCTAACCTCAATGGGCACTGACAATTGACAATACTCGTCTTTATCTATGCTGACAATTAAAGCGACACTTGCATATGCTATACAATGTTACAAAGTTTCTATTAGGAATTTCTCACGTCTGTCCAATATCAATATTTTATTCACGCCTCTTTACTGCGCTTTACGCTGCTACTGAAAAAAGCCATTGACTTGCGGATTAAAGGTCAGCAAATTTTAAAAAAAGAATTGGACTAAATAAAAAAAAGGAATATTGCAACGTTGGGCAGGCGACGGGACGCCATCTCTGCGGTCTATGCCAGGGCGTAGATAATAAAAATGTCAGATAATATTTTTATTGACAAATCTCTCATTCCAATTGGTATCAGTGAAGTGGAGTGTCAGTAGAAACAGTAATTCTATCTAGAAGCGGCTAGAAGTGTGTGGTTTTTGTTCGAAGTGGAGTTAGAAGGACAGAATAATTCGGAATCGAATGATTCAATTTGACATCGAGAGTGTCAGACTTCAAGGCAGTGTTTATAGTTTATATATGGCTGTCATAATAGTGGTTGAATAATGTGCGTGAACGTTATTTGTTGTTATAAGTGACCAGAGACTATGTAAAAATATAAAAAAATGGGTGCAAAAGACTCGAAAAGGGCTTGCCTAAGCTACGAGGATGCCGTCAAGCGAAGTAAGTGCACTTGCATGCCCGTTTTCCCATAATATGCTCTTCACATTCCCTATCACATGATTGGTATGCTAGAACATAAATACCATTATGATAATTCGGTGTGTAAAATTAAATTTAAATGCCTTACGGCAACGGAAAGCACCGAATTCCGCGTATCGTGCGTTCTCTTTTAACTTTAAAGTCCCAATCCCTGTGTTGGCTTTGTGCTGTGCACTTTGTTGCCCCATTATTAAGCTAATTGATCTAACATTAGTGGAACAATAATTATGCTATTAGAGCGGCTGGTTTCCGTTGTCACTGTTCAATGTGCGTAATATCGCATACAGAACAAACATTTCAGCGAATTCCTTATTTATGCTTGTTGGAGTATTGTTCATTGCATAATGTTGCTGGGGTTTCAAATTGCGCTCCACAAATAGCACTTTGTTAACTATCAATTAATGATATGTTTATAAGTTGCTGCAGAATCGTTTGATTACGTGGTCTAGGTATATCTGCTATATGTATTTTGTAATGTTATTAAACCACCGCTATCATGTAGGATTATTTTCCATTCTCACATCTTGTTTATTGAGATGATAAGCCAATGAAGCAGTTGCAGCAAAGCATCAGTGGGTTAAGCATGTTTTCATCAGCTCTGAGCATCTACCTGTGGATTAATCATTGATGAAAACGTTTCATTACGGGTTTCTAGAATGTAAATTTTAGTACCCATACAGTAACTGGTTTCGCGATGAGGCAGGTTCAAAGGTCTACTTTAGCATGTACCTACTTTTTATTGCAAATTGTTTGTGGACACAGTCAATTATCTCCTCATTTCAACCACATCAACATATTTAGCTTCGAAAAATCGCCACTTATTCCACATTAACGTGCTTCATATGTAGCTAAAACTAAATCAGTACATTAAATATTAAATGTATATAATTAGCGCAACTAATTCAACAATGGGAAACTATAATTATCGCTAAATTATACTGGCAATAAATTTAATTTTCCTTAGAGGCTTTTAACCACGTTTACGTTTGAACTGAATAACTGGTTATACAATGAGTGTGGGATATTAAAAAATTGAAGGGAAACTCATGACAACGTGCAGTACAGAGTGAAAATATTGTTTAGATTTTGCAGGATGTTTGGGGAACTATTTGAGATCGATGAGACTAATTTGCCCCTAAATTCTACGCTGCTGAAAACAGTCGCTTTTTGATAGCTTACGTTTTGTACATAAAAAAGGTGCTTTTAGTCCAAAACCTTAATGTCAGCCGTTTTAGAGGAACAGTGCAGTTTGTGGAGAAAACATCAAATCATTAATCATTCAAGCTATTTGATTTGTATTATTTGATTACCATAATACCATTACCATAAACCAGTTAATACAGTGCAATTTATCAGACAACCGATTTTTTTCAAATTCTTTGTTTAATTTAGAAACTTTTTTGGCTCTTGCATCGTTTTTGTATCTGCCACTGTTTCCAGTTATTTGCAAGGTATCAGAAAAGCACGAAAAAACGCTGATCGGTACTAAAAAAATGCAAGAAGCAAGAATGTTTCTAAATTAAAGAAGAAATTTGAAAGTCTGTGGTCAGACTTCAGTGGCACACCAAAAAAAAACACCCTTCAAGAAATATCTGAATAATTCTAGAAGTGATAAGGATTTTTTTTTTAATTATACAGCAAGTAAGTGCAGTATTTTGCCAAAAACATGCAAAATATTTTTTTTCTTCACAAATAACGCAGAAAACTGAAAAATTTAATTACATCGGTACCTGTCTGGTTTTGTTTGGACGCACTTCTGGAAATATGTATTGTTTTGGAAAATGCAATACAGGCCATAGTTTTATAAAAACCTCTTAATAAAATCATCCAAAGTAAACGTTAAATTATTTTGATAAAAAACCAAATAAACTGTTTTTAAACGTGCAATTCGTGATCATCTTGGAAGCAATTGCACTTTATTTCTGCTTCATCTACTTCCACCTCTTCAGTATTGTCCAACCAAAATTCCTGAGGCAAGTTGAGTTCGTGAAGATACTGCAGGGTTTTCTAGAAGATATTTAACATCGATCTTTTTTTCAGCAGAATTTGAATTTCCAAGTGCCAGAAGTGCACGTGATTCGATACTATGAAATGCCTATTTGGATCTGTCTAGTTTAATTGGTTTCCACCGATGTAATAAATTGTGTTGCTCCTGTTGCCCTTATCTTGTTTTCTGTGATTTTCCAATGTTCGTGTTCACTTTCTTATCCGATTGGTATGGTTCAGAGCCATTTTGAGGCGTTGAATTGATAGAAAGGCCGGAAAATTTCCTAATTTGGGACGGTTTGGCGACTGGATTTGTTTGTTTTTGGAACGCTCCTCGATTGATCGATCTTGATGATATTTCGGGTCAATAAAGGGCTCCAAACTTTCTATTGTTTAAGCAATAATTTGCCATAGCCACCAGGTGGTTCTCAATCGAATTTTTGATGGTTGTGTGCATGGGAAACATTAAGAAAAACGGACTTGTGCGCTATCAATCATAACTATTATCTGAGTCACTCAGATAATCTTCCGGTCTGAAACTCATCCAAGATAAATCAAGCCACTCTTCCAGATAAACTGAAACGGGACGCTCTGTTATTATTAAAATAATCGACGGAACAAACCCACTCTAGATTTAAGTCAAGATAAAAACCGTTTAAATAGCGCAATTTAAAAAAATCCCTATTAAACTCAATGCCAGAGATACTGTTGAGATGCTTTGTTAATTGCAAGCTTTGAAAAATTAGTCAGGCTTTTTAATAAAAAAAAACAGGCGAGTTTCTGCCAGTGATTGAACTGATATATAATAGTAAGCATTTGCAAAACTGTTAAACATAAAAATAATACAGTTGGTGTCTGATATTGCTAATTTGTTAAGAGCCAGATGAATGATAAAAGCAATTTACAAGAAAGAAACTACATAGATCGTATTTGCTTTCACTTAGCCATCAGTGAACGATGTTTTTTTATATCCCATATTCCATACCGCCGGTATACGTTACGATAGATTACGAGCGACATTACGGAATTGTTTAAACGATGGTAATTTTCATATTTATTGATTTTTAATTGAAGAGGACGTACTCAAGATAGCGCAAAATAAGCTTGCCGATTAGAATTTTTGCAATCAAATTCTGGCAAACAATGTAATTCAAGGATTCCAGTTTGTTTTATCGTTCTGGGATCTAATAATAGTGTGACGGTTATCCGATTTGTTTTCACGGTTTTATTGTACAATATATTCAAGCTTGAACAATTGCATGATGCAGTCAGACAATCGATAAGGCATGTAAATGGGTCAGAGTGTAATAGGAAAAATCTTGGAGTAAGATGCACTAGAAAATTGTATAGATTTTCGTTAGTTTATCCGAGAATTGATTACGGGAAAAGTTCGGACGCAATAGTCTCTTATCAAGTTTATTTACGAGCATTACAATCAAAGATGGGTATCCTTCTTACAAATACTTTAAATTTATACGACTCGAAACCCCGGTTGTATTCATATATGAGTGGTTTTATCAGTTTTGAGTCTAGGAACAATAGTTTCCCAACTTTATCTGCTGTTATCTCTTGGACCTAATAGCCGTTTGGAATTTATCCAATTATTCTTTTCTGATACGTTTCTCTAGACAAAACCTTGCAAGTTTCATCCACTGTTGTAAAATAACTGGTTAATATATATTGCCTAAATCCATTAATTATGTAACCTTTATATGTATAGGAACAAAGGGTACTTGATTTCCATAGTACAACTTCACTGGAATCTGGCTGGGCAAATATTTAGATACTTCGAGTTCATATTGACTTGGTTGATATCTCAAAAACTATTCACTTACTAAGCATATTGTTTGCTCAGTGTATCGCGTAATTGAATTATTATCGACAAGTACCTATAGGAAATATATTTTTATTCCTTTAGTAAAGCTAGCTTTTATTCATCCCGCGGAAACAAAGAATGACGATCACATTTTGATTAATCCTTGCACATTTTCGTGTATATCTCGGGAACCGCTGATTATATTCAAATACATATTAGAACTTTTTGATAGAGAATGGCGAAAACTATCTTTTTCAATTTAGGCTTGATCAGAAATTTCGCGCTTTGGAATAGTTAAAATGAGAAATCCAACTTTTGCGCGGCAGTTGAGGTTCAATAGCTTCTATCTCGGAAACGGTTGGAAATACCTGATTAATCAGACTTCTTCAGACCCTTTCGAGAACTATTTTGGTTTTTTCGATTCAGTTTTTATTCGAAAGCTTCTCAACATTGTGAAGTTTGCCAGACTGCCGCTCAATCACCTAAATATTATAATTTCTAATAAAGCTTTTATTAATAATGGACTGAGGCTTATCGGCTCGTGGTTCAGCTTTCATTACAAAGTCATCAGTGTGGCGAAATATTCATCAACTATCGAGGTTCACTGTGAATTATCACAATTTTTCAAAAATCCCAGGCGAGTTGTTCAAGAGGTTTACTTAGTAAATTAAATAGATAATTCGTACATTTTTTTGCCGAATTTATGCTCATTTCTATTTCCGCCATAATTTCGTAAAGTTCCCCTCCGATGGATAAAAATCGAACGAATTCCTCGTTTATCATTTGCGGTTGCTATTCTGATTTAAAATTGCGCTCGAAATCTTGAGTTGAAAAGATAATTTCCGCAAGAAGCGAGCAATTTCATTCAAGTAAATTAAACAATTATATCTAATCTTCCTACTCAAGGCTGGGGATCCATAAAATAGTCCTATTTTTGGTTGAGCAGCTTGAGACCTTGCCATGGGATCGTTGACGCTGGTCTTAAAAATGTGGCAATTAGGTGTTCTGTCACATACCATTTTTTTGTTCTTTGAAATTTGAAGGAAATACATTAATAGAACCAAAACGTTTCATGGATCGACGGTAATTGCCGTCAAAAGGTCAGCGTTTATTGTTTGGTTGCACGTTTAGCATGGTGGTTTTCTTTAAGTAGGTGACTACAGCATTAACATTCTGGTAGTATTGGAATTGTTTATTTCTCTAAATTAATAAACCACAAGTGCTGGCGTTTGTGTGGATTTTTATCGGCTGCAAAACCTATAGATAAATTCGTTGCGAGCTAAAATCTTGGATCTTCTCAGTCGGAAACATCTGCTTCGTGCAGAGTGAGGACACTAATCACCAGATCTCTGCGTGCATCCTGGAAACGCCTCATTTTCTCTTGTACGTTCTTAAATTCCCGAATCTCCACATGTTCCAAGTCAGCCAGGGATTGGTTGATAATTCCATAGTCCAGTTCATCAGGCACCATTCCTTCTGGAAGATTTTCCTTGTGGCTTGAAGCCATTCTATGGCGGGACGCATTCCTTTGAGGCTGTGCGGATGAGCCGCACGTTCCACAAGGGGCGGATCCTCCTCCAAACCGGGAGGAAGGTTTGCCTTTTTTCGGCTGCAACTTGGCAATGAGCACTCGGGAGTCCTCGCAAGCCTCGGGAATTTCCACGATATTTTTGCCGGATTCCAAAACGCCTTTCGGTATGATCAGTTTTCTTGTGTAGAATTCTTCGGACATTTTCGGGCAGTTTAACTTAGAATTTTTACGATTTTCAAACAGTCAGATCAGAAAATGTCGCTGACAAGTACCAGTTAGGTGCTTGACGAGTTGAAATTATTTAACTTAAGTGATGTTTAAAACAAACTAATAAACGGCGATTTTAAATGAATTCCAACTATTTGTTTATGTTGTTAGCTTTGCTTTGTTCCATTATTCCACGTTGCTTTTTGAATTATTATTTTATCTATTTAAACAGCCTGTTATTTGGAAACGGCATTGATCAACAGTGAGGAGATTTAGTTTTTGGGTTTCGCGTTACAGCCGGAACATGGAAAG